CTGCAAGGCTAGGGAGGGGGGACCGACAGCTAGCTGCACAAGTTTGCCGGTGACACACTTAAGTTGTTTTGCTTTGCAAAAACATGGGAAAATTCTGATAAATTCCAGATGATTTCAAAACACATTTGAGGGTCAGCTTTACAAAAGGCAGATAAAATCTGAATTAGGTAAGTCCAAGTTGATGCACAAATCTCTATGTAGGCCCAAACATCTTGCAGATGGGAAGGCTTTAAAATTGACAATTCCCAGTGAAGGGTGATAAAAATTGAACTTCACTCTCTTTAAACCCAAGCCATTATGAGAAGAGAGTGTTCACTCCACGTTGAAGTCTAACAGCTAGTAAAAAGCTTGGGGAAATGTGCATTATGAAAGAGCCTTGGAAAGGTTTTTATCCAGTGAAGAAACTGGAATATTTAGAAAGGCAAAGAAAATATTTTTGTGTCTGCATAAGTGGTGTATCTGCACAGTATAACTTCACACACCTGTTCCATCATTCCTATTCTAGGGAGGCAATTTCTATCTGGTGCTAAAGGAGAGTAGAGCAGTGTTCGCCTCACATTCCTTCTGCTGTGACCTACATTCGGCAATATTCTCAAGGATTATTGAGCCATCATGGCTGTGTGATTGAGTAAAAGTTAGGCCATTCACTTTATGCCATTAATAAAGGTGAATCTTCCCCCTCCCCCGTTTTGTTCTCCCACCTTTTAATTTGAAATTTTCAAACCTACAGAAAAGTTGAAAGAACGCTTAAAGAATATTAACTTACCTACTTTTGCCAATAGGACATTCTCTTACATCACTATAATGGCATTCATACTCTCAATGTACTTAACATTGATACACTAGTGTTGTCTAACATAAATGTCAGATTTAAATTTTCCCAATCATGCCAATAACTTTTTTATTATCTTTCATGGCATGGATAATATGGACTAGTCCAGGCTAGTGAGTTGTAAAATGTCCCTGTAATCTGAATTTGTCTGATTGTTTTTGGGGGATTGGATTCAGGCTAAACATTTTTGCCAAAAACATAATATGGGTGACAGTTTGTATCTCCATTGCATGACATCGGGAGGCAATGGTGTCAGTTCAACCCGATATTAGTGATATCAAGTTTGATCACTTGGTGAAGGTGGTGACTGCCATATTTTCCATTGCGAAGTCATCCTTTTCCATTGTGTTTGAATCAGTTGCTGTATTGAGGTTAGCAAAGTATTGATATATCAGTTGTAATCCTCACTATCAAACCCAGGTTTTTGTGATGCCAAAGCTCACACTCTTTCTACTACAGGTACCACCTCTCTGATGTGTGAACAAATGACGCTAGCCATCTGAAGCTGCTGGGAAAACAAAGCATCTAAATTTTATTTCTTGTTTATAGCTTTATTTTCTTTTATCTTGGCAAAAACAATGGACCCCTTTGAAACCTAATGAAAGCAACAACAACAAAAACACCCAAGACTATCGCCCGCCCAGAGTTGATATTCTAGGGTTTCCATGTGAAGGGAAGTGAACAGGTAGAGATGGTCCATATCAGCTTCTCTCCCTCAGCGTCACTGACATTATCCCAGTTCGTTGGAGGGGCAGGTACATTTTTTTTTTTGCAGGGGATGGATGGGTGAGTGTTGGCATCAAAATGTCAGTTTGTTGGGGCAGAGGGAGTTGTTTTTTTGTGTGCGGCAAAGCTGGATTGAAGAGTTTGGTGGAACTTCTACCATTCTTCCCTGAGCCAAGAGTGGGAGTCCCTGGGTAAAGGGGAAAGTAGGGTCTACAAAGCAGCCTGCAAAGACCAGGACTCCACCACTTCTACCACCGAGAGTACAGACCCACCTTCCAGTAACTTCCTGCCAAGTGGGGAGGAAGGGCCCGGAAGAGGGTGGAGGAGGGGCTGTGAACCTGCTGGCTGCTGGACACTGAAAACACAGAGATGAGAGAGGAAGGCCCCCCAGGATCAGAACTACACTTTCTCCTCTTTCCCAGTAGCCGCCCTCCCTGACACCCTGCTTGCTTTAGGGTAGTGGTTCTCAACCTTCCTAATGCCGCGACCCTTTAATACAGTTCCTCATGTTGTGGTGACCCCCAACCATAAAATCATTTTCGTTGCTACTTCATAACTGTAATTTTACTACTGTTATGAATCGTAATGTAAATATCTGATATGCAGGATGTATTTTCATTGTTACAAATTGAACATAATTAAAGCATAGTGATTAATCACAAAAACAATAAGTAATTATATATTCAATATGTGTTTTCCAATGGTCTTAGGCAACCCCTGTGAAAGGGTCGTTCTACCCCCAAAGGGGTCGCGACCCACAGGTTGAGAACCACTGCTTTAGGGGAAATCGTGTGGAAAGGTTCCTGCAGAAAGGTGCAGCTGGAAAAACACAGAGAGAAATCCCTGGTCCCACCTGTTCCTTCTCTTGGTTATATGAAGTGGCAAAGACTCTTCTAATCACTGATAAATTCAGGTTTATAAGTCACACTGGCAGTGTCAGGGTTAGCCTGTCAGTGTTATAAACACTACAAGAGCCCCCCCCCCCGCCCCCTCCATTAAAACAAAAATATTCTCTCTGTTTGCCATCTTTGTACTGTTTAACATGAGTATTTCAACAGTCTTTATTTTCCAAACATGCAAACAGGAGAGAGTGGTCTGACCCGCAGTATATTGACATACCATGTAGCTATAACCTTGAGATAAAAGTAAAGGGAGAAGTCAAAACAGCTCAAACCAAATACTAACACAAACGAGTCTGTCTTCAGAACAGACCCCTTCCCTCTGTATCAGGGGAACACACTAACATTAGCATACCCTGGCAACATTGGGCACACAAAGATAGAGCCATACTTGGCAGACCCCTGGGGCCCCAAATGCATAGCTAAAAGTCTTATGTATTAATTAGCTAATTCAACAAATGTATACCACCCAGGGCCAGACACGCTTCTAGGTGTTGGAAATGTCTTATACATCTAAGGGATAGATTTTCAACTGGTGTGCCATGCCAGGCACACTGATGTGCCACAAGAATTTTTAAAACATGCTGCAATACCAGACTATTTAGCCAGGGGCGTTGACCTCATTTCCTTTAGATTGTCAAATAATAATAATAAAAAAATGACAACAGCCAATACAATAGCCATCCAATATGAGTGAATCAAAATCATACCTATTTTTTTTTTCAGATCAGCAAAAAATATAATACATTTTTTGGTGTGTCACAGAATTTTAGTAATTGGTTTATGTGTGCCATGAGAAGAAAAAGGTTTATGTGTGCTGATTTAGGGGATGTATCAGACTTGCAAGCATCTGCCCTTATGGAATTTATCTAGAGATATTAAAAAAAAAATCAGAGAATATACTCCCACGGTGTTGAGAGAAGATGGGGAATAGCAGCTACAACAGAAAGCCTGAGCTGGTTTCCTGGACTCTGTATATCCAGGAATGCAACAGTTTCAAAATCAGGGTCACACTGTGGACTGGCTATTACAGACAGAAAGAGAGAAAAAGGGCAGCGAATCTGAGAGAAGCTCCTCTCCTCACCATACATGGGAGGGTCCTTTGGGAGCTTTTACCAAATTGATCAGGAAGAGTCAAACCTAATGTACATTAGGTGATGGATAAAAGCAACAATCATGATTGTGCCCCTGTCCCATGCTGAACCATCTCCAAAGATGAAATGTCCCAACGTAAGAACAGGCAACGAACTACTGGGCATCTTTGCTATGCGGAGCTCAGTGCTGAGCATTTTACATGTATTGTCTCATTTAATCCTCTCAATCACCACCTGGTGAGATAAACACTAATTTAGTCCCACTTCCCATATGAAGAAATAGACCTAGAAAGTTATGTAACTTGACCTTGCCCAAGGACACATACCTGATACTAGCAGAACAGGATCCTAGCTCTGTCTGATGGCAAAATCCATGTTCTGAACCACTGCATTTCCACCCATAAAATTATTTTTCATCATTTTATGTAAGAAAAAAGCTATTAATATTGAATAGGATAATTATTCTGATAGCTTCAGAATGAAATCGGTGTTTTCAAGATATTATCTTGGAAGAGACAGTCTAACATGTCTTATCCGTCAAAAGCCCATATGTGCCACTTTCTCAAAGGCAAAAGATGAATTTGGCAATTGCTTAAATGTACATAAGCCTGACTGCTAAAATTTAAAATATGATTCAAGAATAAATGGCAAATCAGTATTTTCTTCAACTAATAAATTCCTCCCCAAAGTTTATTTTACAAATGCATACATTTCTATCTTTGCACTTGATCATTGAATTACTAATAAAAGGACTAACATAAAGCCAGTTTAGTGAAAACAATGCATAACTCCAGAAGGAAGCATATGCCTATTTAGGAATAAGTTCATATAAAAAAATTTTATTATAAAAATAAAAAAATACTTGTAATAGAATTGAACTTTGAAAGGGGGAGAGGTCTTGGTTTTTGCTTTAAATCACTTAAATTAAATGGAATGAGAAGTGATCAGAGTGCTTATTTTTCTTTGTTTTGTGGGAAATTGTGCTGGGAATGTGGATCTATTGTGCACAGAGGATGTTGGCTTTATGCTGGAACCACCAGGCAGGTTGAGTTGAGAAACAATTAGCTCAGTCAGCAAGGCTTTGAATCTGATTAAGCCAGGAAGTGGTCACTCCCCGGGACAGGGCAGAATGAAGGGAATGAAGGCGGTAACCCAAAATGAGGACTGATTTCTCTCTCTCTCTCTCTCTCTCTCTCTCTCTCTCTCTCTCTCTCTCCCTAAAGTAAACTAGTATGAGAATTTATTTGTCAAATCTATGTCAAAAGATTATTTCATTACGTTTTATTATCAGGGGTCAAACAAATTAGAATCTTGTTTCCAAGTAGATCAACAGTCCACATGTGTCATGGCTACTGTCTCTAAGAAACTTGTGTTTGTTGAGGCCTGACATACCCTCATGTTTTAGTAACAGAACATATTTGAGATTAAGGACCCAAGCCACAGAGGAAAATGCAGGGCCTATACCAGGCTGCTGGCCGGATTCTCATGACTTTAGGGGCTCTCAGTGTTTTCTCTGGAGTTATTGCTTTCTTCCCAGCCTTTTCTTATAAGCTTTGGTTCACAGGATGGAGTGTCTGGATTGCTTGTCCCATTTGGAATGGAGCTTTGGTACGTAAACATTTTATTACCTATATTGAGAGATTACAGGAAGGAGGGAGAGAAAGAGGAAACAGAATAACATATTCTTTTTAAGTTTCCCAACAATACGAAAAAGTCAACATTCTACAGAACTCACCTTAGAACATTATTTTCGAAAAGACTCCTGGTACACAAAAATTTGTGCACTCGGGGGGGTCCCTCAGCCCGGCCTGTGCCCTCTCGCAGTCTGGGACCCCTCGAGGGATGTCCACCTGCTGGCTTAGGCCCGCTCCCCAGGAGATGGGGCCTAAGCTGGCAGTCAGACATCACTCTGGCAGCCTGGGGGCCCTCAGGGATGTCCACTTGCCAGTGGGGAGCAGGCCTAAGCTGCAGTCAGACATCCTTAGCACTTCTGAGGAGGTGGGAGAGGCTCCTGCCACCACCACTGTGCTGGCAGCCATCAACCTGGCTTGTGGCTGAGCAGAGCTCCCCCTGGTGGTCAGTGTGTGTCATAGTGACCAGTCATTCCCAGTTGTTCTGGTGTTAGGGTCAATTTGCATATTACCCTTTTGTTATATAGGATAGAGGCCTGGTGCACCAATGGGAACCGGCTGGTTTGCCCTGAAGGGTGTCCCGGATCAGGGTAGGGGTCCCACTGGGGTGCCTTGCCAGCCTGGGTGAGGGGCTGAGGGCCGTTTTCAGGCTGGCCACACCCCCTTCAGGGTGGGGGTCCCCACTGGGGTGCCTGGCCAGCTTGGATGAGGGGCTGAGGGCCGTTTTCAGGCTGGTCACACCCCCTTCAGGGTGGGGGTCCCCAATGGGGTGCCTGGCCAGCCTGAGTGAGGGCTGATGGCTGTTTGCAGGCTGGTCAAGCCCCCCAGTGGGAACCCTCACCCCATGGGCGTGTGGCAAGCCTAGGTGAAGGGCTGAGGGCTGTTTTCAGGCTGCCCACACCCCCTTTGGGGGGGGGGTCGTCTCATTGGGGTGCCTGGTCAGCCTGGATGAGGGGCTGATGGCCATTTTCAGGCTGGCCATGCCCCTCAGCAATCCAAGCTCCTAGCCTCTCCTTTTTTTTCCAGGGTGGCCTGAAAGCAGGTATCTGGGATTAATTTATCTTCTATAATTGAAACTTTGTAGCCTTGAGCAGAGCCCAGAGCCAGCCAGGGCAGGCAGGAAGCTTGGCTTTCTCTATCACCGGGGGGCAACTCAAGCCTCCTGCTCGCTCCAGCTCCGTGTCCCCGGCCAGCTTAGTTGGGTTAATTTGCATATTGGCTCCTGATTGGCTGGTGGGCCTGGCTTGTGGGTGGAGTGGAGTGATGATTAATTTGCATCTTTCTCTTTTATTAGTGTAGATTATTTGCATTTTAAATGTAGGATTTTTCTTAAAATCATTTTATCATGTATACTGTATCTTATGTAAACTATAACAGAAATACTGTTCAAGAAATTCTTAAAAAGTTATTTTATTTTAATCTCACCTTGATATTCTGAGAAACTGAAATATCTTGAAGTTGGAATTAAAAGTATATATATCAGGGGTGTGGGGGAGGTAGAAGAGGGTAAAGAGGAGATAAATGGTGATGAAAGGAAACTTGATTTGGGGTGGTGAGTACACAATACAATATCCAGATGATATATTATAGAATTGTACACCTGAAACCTATATAATTTTATTAACCAATTAGAGGCCCAGTGCACGAATTTGTACATGGGTGGGGTCCCTCCCGGCTGATCGGGGCCTTCTTACCCAGTCCCAATTGGGGCCAGCCTGGGGGAGGGACCATGGGAAGTTGGCCCACCATGGGAGGTTGGCAGTGGGAACTCACTGACCACCAGGGGGCAGCTCCTGTGTTGAGCATCTGCCCCCTGGTGGTCAGTGCATGTCAAAGCTACCAGCCGGTTATCCGGTCATCCAGTCGTAATAGTTGCTTAGGCTTTTATATATATACTAGAGGCCCGATGCATGAAAATCATGCAAGGGGCTTGGCCCTCGCAGCCCCTGCTTCATCCAGAAGGTCATCTGGAAGGACCTCCAGGAGGTCGTTTGGCTATCCAGTCTAATTAGTATATTATGCTTTTATTATTAAAGATAGATGTCTCCCCAATAAATTCAATAGAAAATATCAACCATGAAAAATAATTTTAAGAAGGAAAACAGGTGAAATAACTTTCAGACTAACATTTTTATTAGAAATGCTGACATGTGTCTACATCACCCAGATTTGCAAGCCAAAAATCTTAGTTCTCTCTCCTTTTTCTCTCCACACAATTGTTTGACCTGAAAATAATTCAAGAAGTTGGGTGATGGCCCAGCCAGCATGACTCAGTGGTTGAGTGTCGACCCATGAACCAGAAAATCACCATTCAATTCCTGGTCAGGGCACATGCCCAGGTTGTGGGCTCGATCCCCAGGAGGGGGCTTGCAGGAGGCAGCTGATCAATAATTCTCTTTCATCATTGATATTTCTATTTCTCTCTCCCTTCCTCTCTGAAATCAATAGAAATAGATTTTTTTAAAAATGTTGTGTGATGAACTTCACAAACTTCCCAGTTCCCTAAGGAGGTGGGCATGTGCCAAGTACAAATTGGCACCAACTAGGTGCTCAGTGTCTGCTCTTTGGCTGATTGACAGATGAAGGATCAAACCAGTACGTCAGCTTCATGGGTCAAAGAAGTGAGCATGTCTTACACTAAATTCAGGGTGGTGTGACTTAGGAGTTACAGAAGCCCACAAGCACAACCAATCCTTCTCTCATTATTTCCCAAGTTACCTGACATTCACCACTGAAGACTAGAGAATTCAATTTTGAAGCTTTTTGATCCTAAGAAGTTTTCTATTAAAATGTAGCCACCCTGAGGAGGGGCAACACTTTAAGTCTTTTTTAAAAATCAGACTTTAACTGGGGTAGTACTTAAAAGTGAGATCCTAGGAAATATAATTTTAATCTGGCTATTAAATAAATATGTGTTGATAGCCTCCTGCATGCTTGAGTTACAATGGAGCATAATGCAAGGTCCAGATGCTAATGGAACTCGGTCCAGCCAGGTTTAACTATTGTGTGTGTTCAGGGGCAAGCCGGGTGGTGGGAGTATGGAACTGAATAAGGAGACCATTTGGTGATTTTTTTTCTTTTTAAGTACATTATTTTACATTTACCACTCTGGTCTTAGCCTATAAAATGGGGTATTGTACAGGTAAAGAGAGCCTATGTGAAATGTCTAACCTTAAGATATTCAGAAAGAGTAAATGCAACTTGAACAAAGAGCCTATATAATAAAGAGCTAATATGCTAATTAGACTGAACAGCAGAACAACCATCCGGACGACCTTCCAGACGAAGCCAGGGCTGTGAGGGCCGGCCAAGGCAGGCAGGGCTGCGAGGGCCGAGCCCCTTGCACGAATTTCATGCATCGGCCCTCTAGTTGTATAATAAAGAGCTTTGCCAATATTGAAGCCCTCTACAAGTGCTTTAATACCATGACTTTCACTATCCAAACCCTGTGTTCCTAATCCCTTGCCATCCAACTCACTCTTCTAACCCATTCCCTGATGACTTGCTGAGTTCCCCATCCTGTTACCTCCTGGTCTTCATCTCCTGCCACTCTCCCTTAACTGATTTCTTTCCCATCACACTAGCTTCTTGTTGTTCTAAAAAATGCCAAGGGTGTGTTTCTGTCTCAGGGCCTTTGTACTGTGTGTTTCTGACTCAGGGCCTTTGTACCGTACAGCCTGTTTTCTGCCTGAAGCCTCTTCCCACACACAACTCATTTCCTAATCTTTAATTCCTTGAACAAATGTCGCTTTCTCACTAATGCCTAGAACCTCCCCCCAACTGGCATTCCCTGCTCTATTTTCCCCCATATCCCTTATCACCATCTAATCTATATATATATAAAACACTAATATGCAAATAGACCAAACGGCAGAACAACTGAAGAACCAAACAACTGGTCGGTATGACATGTGCTGACCACTAGGGGGGGTGTGCACAGAACGTGGCAGGTGTTGGCCACAGAGGGATGGTGGAGCAGGTGAGCAAGATGCCAGACCAAGGTAGGATGTTGGTTGCTGTCATTCAGGCGAGCCTCTGGTGGTTACTGAAAATTTTTTGCTCCTGTGTGCTGTGGTCGTGCTAGGCGCTTGCACCAATGCCGGCGCCCAGCGCCAGTCCTGATCGCTCAGCGCCATCAGTGGATGCAAGCAGGGCCAGTGCTGTCAGTGCGTGGGAGCGGCAGCAGCAGGAGCAGAGGTGGGGGCAGAAGGGGACCAGGGGCCACAGCAAGAGAGGCTGGGCAGGGGCACAGAGGATGGGCCAAGACCTGTCCCTGTGCCCACTGCAGCCTCTCGGCCCACCGCTCCTTTCAAGGTGCACAAATTCATGCACTGGGCCCCTAGTATACCATATAATTTTACTTATTTATTATTTGTTTGTCCTCCTCCAATGTTTATTATACAAGGGCAGGGATTTTTTCTATTTTGTTTATTGCTGTATTCCCAGCACTTGGAACAGAGTGAGCCACATACTAGATGTTCAATAAACATTGTTCAAAAAACATTGTCGAATAAGTGAATAAATCTCATACTGGTGGCACAGAATTCCTTATATAGTTGAACTCTAATTAGGTTGCAAAAACTAAAGGTCAAGCTGGTATTTATACTAAATCAGGAAAAAAATCCTCATGAAAAGGAAAGCAATGAGATTGTTCACTCTCTTGATAATATTTAAATTTGAAACATAATTTTTTTTTCCTAGTTGATTTTTCTATTGAACCATAGCTCTGCCTGATCAGGGTCAACTTCAAAAGGTCTCTGACTCATTTCACAACCTTCTTTGCCAGTCATTTCTCAACTTGCCTACAAAGTGTATCTTCCCCTGGTGAAAAGATAATTTATACACTTCAATCATATTGACATTTCCCTTTGTAAAGAATACATATCTCTTTGGAGACTTGTAAGAGATAGGTTTTTACAAGTGGCTCAGCACTTTGTATTTGTTCAGTGCCTTTCATTCAAGGCTTTCTAAGTTCTTCACAAATATTGGTCCTCAGACTCTCCTACTTCTATTCTGCCAGCCACATGATAAGCAGCTTTCCTAGAATTTCTGAGCCAGTTATTTAAAGGCACCGTCTGACAGAAAGTAGGCAGCAAGGGGATCATAGCACCTTACACACTGAGCGCTACTTAAATCCCAGAAAACCTGCCTTGTGGAGAAAGTTCAAATGAAGAAACCAAAGCGCAATGAGTTTCACAAGATCTGAAGCCTAGAGGGTTCAGTGGCTTGGCCAATAGTGAGCAAAAGTGCTTCACCCAGAACCCTGCTTGGAGAAGGGAACCTGGGAGGAAGGTAGGGCTAGACCTCCCGGGCAACTCCAGGCTCCTTCTCTGTTACAGGAGGGACTCAATTTCACCATGGCTCAAGCCTCTTAAGCTTCAACGGTCCTGTGATTTCTAACTACCTGATGGTCAATTTTCCCTTAGATATCCTACGCTTCTTTAAGTTCAGCTTGTCCAAAACAAATTAACTATCTATCACCAAAAACAATCGTTTCTTCTCCTGACTTCCTTGTCTTTTTCTTGGAGCAATGTTTGACTCTCCTTTCATCTAAACTAGTGCTTCTCAAACTGTCATGTGCCTATGAATCACCCGGGGATCGTGTCAACATGCAAACTCTGGTCCTGGTCAGTGTGGCTCTGTTGGTTGAACATCTTCTCATGCACCAAGAGGTTGCAGGTTGGATTCCTGGGTTGTGGGCTCAATCTTCAGTAGGGGTGTACAGGAGGCAGCCAATGGATGTTTCCTCTGTCATTGATGTTTCTCTCCCTCTCCCTTCGTTTTTCTAAAATCAATAAAAACATATTTTTTTAAAAAATGCAAACTCTGATTCAATAAGTATAGGATGAGGCCTGAGATTCTGCATGTCTGACAAGTTCCTAAGGACCTGTCCTGCTGGTCTTAGGACTGTGTTTGGGTTTTACTGCCCAAATTCAGCCCACCCTCAGCCCCATTCCCACCCGATCACGTCCAGTTGTTACCGAAGCCCAATAATTAAGTTCATCCTATCTGTACGCTCTGGCAAAAAATTCACGGAAGTTGGGGGTTTGCAGCAAAGAAAGCAAATTGTTGATTAGAATTGGCAAATCTGGAGATGAGCAAGCTTGTGTCCTGAAAGAGCCTGCTCCTCCATGGCACATAGGTTGCAGAGTATATAGAGCAAAATCACAAGACACCGGGGGTTAGGAATTCCAGGTCTGTTGAGAGCTGATTGGTCAGAGGTGAAATAAGGGTAATAAATTATTTCTTCAGGACCTGGGCAATGTTTTTGTTGTTGTTTTTTTAATTGATTGATTGATTTTTAGAGAGAGAGAGGAAGGGAGAGAAACACTGATTTGTTGTTCCACTTACTTTATGCATTTGTTGGTTGATTTTATTTTTTTAAAATATATTTGTATTGATTTCAGAGAGGAAGGAAGAGGGAGAGAGAGATGGAAACATCAATGATGAGAAAGAATCATTGATAGGTTGCCTCCTGCACGCCCCCTATTAGGGATCAATCCCGCAATCTGGCCATGTGTCCTTGACTGGAATCAAACCTGGGATCCTTTAGTCTGAAGGCCAACACTCTATCCACTGAGCCAAACCGGCTAGGGCCACTGATTGGTTCTTACATGTGCACTGACCAGGGATCGAACCTGCAATGTTTGCACATTGGGAGGAAGCTCTAACCAACTGAGCTACCCGACCAGGGCCTATTTCTTCTGGTCTTGAGGACACCTCCCATGGTCAGCTCCGGAATCCGGAACCCAGAACCAGTTTCGAGAAGAGGTAGCCAAGGGGGTCATCATGTCTTCCTGGCACAGTAGTTGAAACATAACAGATTAAGATGTTATCTTTTTTAGCCTGCCAGGGGCTTAAACCTTGTGACCATTAGTCAGAACCAAGGCATTGTTTTCTGCTGCCTCAGGGGTGAGAAACTAAGGGGTGAGAGACTAAGGTCAGGTCAGTAAAGTATGCTGAGAAAGAGAGGAGGGAAAAAATTATTGTTTTAAAATTACAGTTTAAATCAAATCAGAGTTATGAGGACCCTCAGTTTCACAATCAGTTGCCCAGTAACTTTAATTTTTTCCTATGAGGTGCACCCCTATGCCTTCCTTCCTCCTGTTCTCACTGTGTACCTCACTACCACCACCAACAACAACTTCTTACCACTTCCCACCCCTGCCCAGGTTTTATTCCTGGATAACTTTGATAGCTCAGCTGTGGGACTCTCTCCATCAGTGGATTATAAAATCAATCTGTTATGTAGCTAACAGAATTTAGAAAACATGAATCAAATAGAATAGGAATAGGAATAGGAATAGAGTAGAGTAGAATAGAATAGAATAGAATAGAGAATGAGACTTAGAGTATATCACACAAAATAAGGATATTATTATTATTTTGGTTAGCTATAAAAATATTTATTTCTTGGCCATGAAGCAAAATATATTTCTTACTGTGGATAGTGGTTAAAAGCCAAAACAAACAAACAAAAAACCCACACACAAAAACAAACAAACAAAAAACATTTGAAGACCAAGGCCCTCCAGAGACCTCTCATCCTCACTCCATTCCATTCCAACATGCATGCAACAATGGCTCATCTTTCTAAACCTCTACTGTGTCAGTCTATCTCCTTGATCAAAAACCTTCAGTGTTGCTTCACTGTCCAAAGTTTGGATATGTCAGCCTGAACTGTGAGGCCCTCCTCAACCTGGCCTCGTGTGATTTTGAGCCTGATTTCCTACTCTTGTCCGCTAAGAACCAATCCTCCCGCAGGGCGGGGCTCCTCTCTCACTGTTCCCCAAGAGTGACTGCCACTTTCCTGCCTGTGCACCTACTGCTCCGGCTGCCTGGACACCCTTCCCTCTGATTCCCACTGAAATCACATCTGTCTTTCAAATCCACTTCAGGTTGTCGGGGCTAAAAAATAATAGTACTTTTCCTCTCACTAAGTTCTTCTAGCTGGGCTAGTAATCAAATTAATAGAGGCAGTGTAACAGGAGAAAATAAAATTTTAATGCATGCCCATGGGAATTAACATAGGCATAAAAATTTCAAAGACAGTGAGGCAACATTGGGTATATATGATATTTTAGACAAAGGAGCAAAAGGGCAGGGGAACAGGGCCGTAGATTTCCAAAGAGAATGGGCAATTTACAGGTAGTTGAGGAAGAGCAGAACAGGGCAGGCAAATTCTTGCTAGGCATCCACACAAACATCATGCAGCCAAAGAGTAAGTTGGGATCATAGTACTGGTCTGGTGTTATCTCATTGGACATAATTTACTACTGGCCAGCCTCCAAATTCCCACACAGAACTTTGGGAATAGAAATACTATATATTTTTTGGAAATTTAATGTTAAGATATCTATAATAACTCACTACATTAAAAAAAAAACAACATTGCTAGGCAACCCAGAACTAATGGGACACGGGGGGTTCTAGTAACAGGCCGCTGACTAAAGCCTTCCTATTCACCATACTTAATTCAAGGTAGGCTATGGAGGAAATCTTAAGACCTTCTTCCTAAAGCAGGTTTTTCTATCAGAATCTCTTGAGCAGAAAGAAAGGAGGAGGGCGGGGCAAAGATTCTTTCTGAATCTTTTGTTTCTCAATAAGCACCTTAAAATCAATATCCCAAAGGGCAGCTGGTAGCAAAGCTTTGGTCCGCTTCCAGGTCCTGTTTCCTCCACAGTGACTTCATCAGTGATTGTTCCCCCTGGAAATGGTATCTTGTCATTGAGCTCTTCTCACACAGAAAGCACCCACGCTTTTACCTAATTTTGTGGACATTCTCATATTTGCATTATTTTCCTATCTAGGCTGTAAATTGCACTGAGAATTGGAGCTATTGTTTGTAGAATTATTACTTGGTGAGCTTACTCATCTTATTTAGCTTCTCTGTGCTTCATTTAAAAAGTACTGTGAGCCCTGGCTGGTGTTGCTAAGTGGTTAGAGCTTCGGCCCTCGCACCAAAGGGTTAAGGTTTGATTCCCAATCAAGGGCATGTATCTGTGTTGCAGGTTTGATCCATAGCCCTCGTCAGGCAAGTGTGGGAGGCAACCAATTAATGTATCTCTCTCACATCGATATTTTTCTCTCTCCCCCCTTGCCTCCCTCCCGTCCACCCTCTCTAAAAAAATAAATGGAAATAATATCCCCAGGTGATGATTAACAACAACAACAAAAGGTAGTGATTCTTTTTTAATTGATCACCAAGACAATTATGATTGACTGGGGTAAGGGGTGGAGAGAGAGAAGTTTAATGATACAAAATTGGATAAAATTAAGAAGATTATTTTAACTTATAGTTATGGAAAAGTTATAGGAATTATAATATTATAGTAAAATAAGTGCCATAGCTTCTAAAAAATAAAATAAAAATAAAAAGTAGCAGATCTACATCATAGGGTCATAATGAGTGAACACATATGAAGTGCTTAGGCTAGTGCCTGGCATAGAGTAAGTGCTCAATAAATATTAGCTGTCATCATTCTATCTGCAAAGTATCTATCACATCCCTTGTTCATAACAGACCCATAATCTATATATATAAAAAGCCAGCAACTGGAACCCCATAATGACCAGAATGACTGGTTGCTATGATGCCCACTGCCGCCAGCGAATGGGCCCTATCAGGGGGTGGGGCCGGCTGGTCAACCTCCCACAGCCCCTCCCCCCACCCAGCCCCACCCCTGATTGCTCCCCCCACCCCAATAGGGGGCAGGGCCAGCCGGCCCACCTCCCACAGTCCCTCCCCACAGTCAGCCCCACCCCCATCAGCCTCCACCACCTCGATAGGCCTGTGGCCCCTCCTCCCAGCCAGTTCCGCCCATGATCACCCCCCCCCCAACTTTGATCAGGGCCAGGGTTGGCTGGCCAACCACCCACAGACCCTCCCCCAGGCCACTGACCTCTAATTGGCCCCCCACCCCAATCTGGGGCTGGGCCTGCCGGCTAATTGCCTGGGGCCCTTCTCCCCAGCCAGCCTAGCCCTGATTGGGCCTTGATCGGGGAGGGCTGGCGGCCAACCTGCCACCATCTCCTCCTCCCAACAGGCCCAGCCCCAATCCTCTAATTGGGCCTGAGCCGGCTGGACCCCACCCAAGCACAAATTCGTGCACTGGGCCTCTAGTAGATGTTCATAAGTGAGTAAATTAGCCCACATTACAATTATTTTTCTAAAAGTTTCTATTTCCGTTGTGACTGCTCCCTGCTTCCTTCGTCTGCTTCTGGGAACTGCATCATTTACTTGAACAATTTAAAGAATAAGTGGGAGGGTTCACAATTATCATGCAACCAAAGTGTTAGCAACAACCATTGCAAAATCCAAGTACTGTCCCTAGAACTGCCCATAGAGCACGTCAACATAACAGCCCGTAGAACATGTCAACAGCCTGTCAAGAAAAGCTGAGGGAGAGTGCACATCCCCAAGCACCGCCCCCTCCTTCCTCACAACCTGACTGCCCTGCTCTATCCAACTTTGTGCCTCTCAGACACTCCCTCCTTCACCTTTCCTTTTCCCACTTGACCTCTCCCCTACCTCAAATCTTTCTTTTTTATTCTTTTCCCCTCTCTCTCTAAAAACAAAATTTTTTAAAAAGAAATAAGAGGGGAAGGCTGTGACTCCTGAAGGCACATTCCCACTCTACCTCCTATGCACAGTAGGGGGTTGGGGGGGGCGGGTGAGAGGTCACGAGGGGGATGGGGGTGGGGGGTGGAAAGATGAGTGTGCTGGGCTCCTGAGCCACATCCTGCAGGGTGGATTTAACAAGTCACTGGTATTCACACACCAGCCTGCTCCATGAAAGATCTTTTTCAAAGTTTTGTGTAAACAAAGTAAAATTCAAGCTGGCAGCTACAACAGCATTTTTCAACGTTAGAAAAGGCAAGAAACAGTTCGTGCCAAAGTAGTTACGGCAACCTGGAATCTAAGCAGCTGATAATGTCAGCTATCTATTTGGAGCTAAACCAGCAGAGGGGCATCCCTCTGCTTCATCTCCTTTGCTTCAGTGTTGCTCACAGAGGAGTGACGTGTCATTTGAGCGCCTTGCCTCTGAAAGCACAGACTGGCCGAGGGCTTAGCCCGCCAGTGTTACAGTTGCTCTTAATAATTCTCCTGTTTTGTTGTACTATTTATGCTGGCTCGACCTCCATAGGGTCCCTTGGAAACTTTCCTCCTGCAGAATCAAGCCAACCTCTTTTGACTACAGATGGTTCTGTTTTTATCCATGGGAGTTTTATGGTATGGCGATGCCAAGTCTGGAATTTCAGGCTTAGCTACATGAGAAGTTTTGTGTGAGTGCATGTGTGTGTGTGCTCTCCCACCACCCTCCCCCCCCTCTCAAATTCTCTAAATCCAACATTCAAAATAAAATATGCCAGGAAAATGAAAAGCTGGGTCTCAAAATAATAAATATGCCAGACCCGGGGCTACAAAAGCAGCATACCACAAAACCACATTGGTAAGAGCTCTGATTTTTCTCCCCCTTAAATTTGTTGATACTATATATACATTCATGTTTATTTTTCTGTCAAAAACCTAAATGGTACTATTTTTAGGCCTGCCCTCGTTCTATATCTTATTTCAGGCACATCTCTTCCTGGCTTTCTCTCTCCATCTCAAAATGTTTCTTGACTAGGAACAAATGATTTAAGGGTTGGGAATAAGTGATTTCCAGGCTCAATGACCACAAAGGCCTCCTTTATCAGACGGGGCCCTGAATCAAAGATGAGCCCAGATTTTTTTTTTTTTTTCATTATCTATTGCTCAATTCTGGTGACACCATTCCCTCCTTTGTTTAACTATTTTTATTCTGCACTTTGGGCCTTTTTCCTTCAATGGAGACTATAAAGAACTCTCTTTTGAAAAGCTGGACACCGCTGCACCCAGAACAATAAATGCCCCATCATGCATTCATTCTAATGATAATCTTTGTTACTTGAGAAACAGGGATCACGTACTTGTATCCCACCAGCAGGCTTTTCAAGAGGAAGCAGATAGTAAAACATAGTGCTGCTGCTGAAGGTTTTCAGGGTTTTGTGACACATTTTCCATTCTGGTTCTTCCCATGTGCAGTTTTAGCAATTTGTAAGAAAGATGAACAGTAAGCAATTCATCAAAACAGAACATATGGCAAGGGTTATAAAGCCAAGCTTCTATTGCAATGACAGACTACTATAGCAAAGCTTATCATCTCGATGGCAAAGGCAGCACAGGAAAATCAAAAAATGAGCTTCCATGAATCATGTCTTTATGACACTTATGGCTTCTCTTCCTCATTGTCATCACGGATGAAGAGGAGGTCGGAGCTATACATCCACTTAGCCATTTGCCGTTCCTTCCAGTTCATGGTAAAGTTGTCAAATGGTGAGACAGATTGAACTCTTTCCAGAGGTACATTCTATCATGGATGTTGTTTTCCCATCTTCCTTTCACAGGCCATCACAGCTGGTGTACTCCTATTGTTGGCTCACAAAGCGTGGACCCAGAGATACTTGGTAAATATGTGGACATTTTGATGTGAGAAATATCCAAGCCTGTAAAGATTTGATTTGAGCCAAAATGACAACAACTGCCAAGAAGCAAGATCTAAACTTTTCAGAGAGGGACAGTTTTTCAATTTCTTTTACTCATTTGAAATTAAGGAGAGAACATAAGGGAGATTACAGGAGGTGGGAAAAAGCAAGGTGGGGATTGGCTTACAGGATAGTGAACAAGATTATGTGATCTCTTGAGAATGGTTATGTCTTAGAAGGAGGGGTCTGAAAAGGGACATTTCAATGGTGTGTTAATCTAAATACACAAGAACAATAGACAGGATTTGCTTAAGGCAAAGATAAACTTTTACTAAAGAAGTTATGTGCCTGGAAGTGACTCCCCACCATAATCTGCCCATTTAGGAATTTATGATCAGATTACCCTGTGAGGTTACTTTCTGTCACTGGATGTGTCAGTTTTATTATAGAACCCCTTTTATTTCAAGGAGGATCGTTTGAAGATCAAACCTCTCCTAGTTCAGGATAGAACATAGAGACTGTGATTTCCAATTATAGTTAAACTAGAGGCTGGATGCACCAAGATTCGTGCGAGAATGGGCCTTCCTTCCCCTGGCTGCCGGCACTGCCTTCACTCTGGCCAGGGCTGCCTTTCCACCTTCCTTGCTGCCCAGAGGCCCGGAGCAGCTGGGGCAGTGTGGAACGCCTGTGTCCTGCCCTGCCCTGCCCCCCTCGGTGCCTGCATATGCAAATTAACCAGCCATCTTTGTTGGATTAATTTGCATGTTCACTCCTGATTGGCTGGTGGGTGTCGCGAAGGTACAATCAATTTGCATATTTCTCTTTTATTAGTGTAGATTCTGTCTAATCAATGCCTTACTATGATGAATTTTAAGTAATAAACTATGTTTTCAATTAAAATTTTGTATTTGATTCCTGCCCCAAACATTTTCTACAAGTTCCTGTGGTTATTATAAGTGCTGTCATTTGGGGAGGACAGAACCAGGGTTAGTGCTACTGGGTTTCAATCTTGAAGAAAGAGATCTATAGGCTCCTCTGCTTTCAATGTTGCATTTTCAAGTCTCAACTCCTCAATTTGGTATCTCCTTCTAATTTGGTATCTCCTTCCAATTTGGTATCTCCCTGTACTCTTTGCCCTTAAAGAAAGAATGAGGCCTGGCCGGTTTTTCTCAGTGGTTACAACGTTGGCCTGTGGACCAAAGGGTCTCAGGTTCAAGTCCTGGTCAAGGGAGTACCTCAGTTGCAGGTTCAATCCCCAGCCCTGGAGGCAACCAACCAATATGTGTCTCTCGTGTCAATGTTTTCTCTCTCTCTCTCTCTCCCTCTCTCTCTCTCTCTCTCTGTCTCTCTGTCTCTCTCTTTCTCTGTCTCTGTCTCTCTCTTCCTCCTCCCTTCCTTCTGCTCTCTCTAAAAACTTCAATGAAAAAAATATCCTCAGGTGAGGATAAAAAAAAAAAGAATGAAAAGTCATAATAATTTGAATTTTAATAGCATGAAACCAAGTAATCCCACAATATAGATCAATACCTTGATCTCATTAAAAACTTTTCTCCGATGGCTACAGCAGTGCTTCTCAAGCTTTAATGTACTACTAGGTGTAAATCACCCGGGGATCTGGTTAACAGGCAGTTTCTGATTCAGTAGATCTTGGAGAGACCTGAGAGTCTACATTTCTAACAATGTACCAGGGGATGTCAGTGGACCATGGACCACACCCTGATTGGCGAGGTCCTAGGATAGATAAGGCAGGGATTCTGTTTACTCGTCTGTTTTTCCCACCCCAGACTGGTTCTCAACACATGACAGGAGATAAATAAATATTTGTTGGATGGAATTGATTTCATTTTTTGCCCCAGTTGGCTGATGTTATTCTTCCATAATGTAGATAGAAGAGGAGGACACAAGGGCCTAAGGGAAGGTTGTGACCCATTTCTCCTTCACTTCCCAGTAGGAGAGATTAAGACCTGGCATCTCTTTCTTCCGATTGCTAAGAAGCTTTTGGAAAATATAGTTCCCAAAGTAACTATTTGTTTCTGCTTTATTTTCAGTGGGAAGCTAGTTTCACTTTTGTGATTCTGAGCCTTATAGGATGTCCACTTCATTTTGCAGTAGCCTTGGAATCGGCTCTCCTCGGCCCATATTGCTTCTACTCATTATCAGGGGTTGCAGGCACCAATTATCTTGGTTATGCGGTTGCCTTTCCTTTTCCGTATGCAAAATTCCCATCAGTGTGTGTGGATCCACCACACTATGAAGAGTACCACCTGACGCTTCAAACCTTTGACCTCTGCCTGAGCTTTGCCATGTTCTGCGCGTCCCTGACAGTTTTCCTCAAGCTCTCTGCAAGACTTCTTTGGAACGGACACATAAATGTAAGTTTCAAGAAACAGGGGGCTGGTTCTTATTTCATCCTGAATACTAAAATGAGAAGCCTTGTATGTTAACATTTAATTTTTCTCTTTTATTCACCACTGTATCCTGTATAATCATGTCATCCAGTGGCTGGCACATAATAAATGGTCAATAATTGTTTTTGTAAGAATGAATGAAAATATGTTGATGTGATAACTAAAGGTATGGCAGTAGGTAGCACCAGCTAATTTTTTATCTCAATGTGCTGTTTAAAAAATTACTAATTGAGATAAATATTAAGAGCTTTGTGTGGAAATTGAAAGCAGCACCCTTCATATTTTTAATATTAGTCAAATACAGATATCTTAATCTGGCTTCTATCCCCTTCAGAAAGATATACATGCTCCTTGACTAAAGAAGACATATGAAATTCTCCCCCTCTGTCTACTCCTACTCCAGCAGAAAAGCTGATATAGGCTAACATCAAATTTAGTTTCCTAACTTTTTCCAGGAGGGCTAACCATATTAACTGTATGAAATAATAGCAAAGTGAACTGTATGTTTACTGTGTCTCAGTGTACTTCCCATTTTACAGATAGTAAACTGAGGCTAAAGAGTTTCTATAACTTTCCCAAGGTCACCCTAATGCGTCTAGATTCAGAACCCAGAGCCATTTCTCTTAATCAGGCCAGATTGATTCTGTGCCTCCTTGTCACTCAACCTTTCCTCCTCTGCCAGACCATTAATATGCATGGCTCTGACCCCCAGGAGGATTACAGCAGGGTCATTGGGAGAAGAGCACAAGTGATTCCTGATTCTAAATTTCTACAGGTATTGATCCTGGGTCACTGCTTTGTGAGTTGAACAGCTTCTTTCTGGAAAGAGCTGTTTCCCAGGGAAAACTCTCATACTGGCTGTATGATTCAAGTCAGTATTATATTAGGATCAGGTGAATTTAAAATATATTTTTATTGATTTCAGAGAGGAAGGGAAAGGGAGAGAGAGATAGAAACATCAATGATGAGAGAGAATCATTGATTGGCTGCCTTCTACACGCCCCACACTGGGAATTGAGCCTGCAACCCAGGCATGTGCTCTGACCAGGAATCGAACCAGTGACTTTCTAGTTCATAGGTCAACGCTCAACCACTGAGCCACACTAGCCAGGCAGAATCGGGTGAATTTAAGTAATGTTAGCCAATTCTCTCCCTCCCTCCAATTTGATCCTATCAACAGCAACCATCAAAACTAAAAAGATAAGAATTGACATTCTCAATGCCTTTTGTGGTCATTCTTGTCCTCTTAAAGTTCTACATAAGTCTGCAAAGGAAATCTGTACATTCTTCAGAACAGAATTGATTGTATAAGGAGGCTTGCCCAGGGTTGAGATGAACAGACCAAAATTACCTCCCCTATTGGATTGCCAGGGCATCTAGAAGTTTAGTATTTGAGATTTATCCCTTCTGGTAAACATCCTAAATTTCTAAAGCCCTTTGCCCCAAATTTCTAAAGCCCTTTGCTAAAAGGAACATATGCCTAAGAGAAACACACATTTAAGTGTTGGCAGCCATAACCCCTCGGCATAGATAGTTAATCAGATACCTGATTCATTATAGGCATGACACTCATAGCATCTAGGTTTAACATAGATAGAATGCAGGGAGAAAAAAAAATTAAACATTTACAAAGAACTGGGTAAGTCAGTCCCATGGAGACCCAATAGGGAGGCCACCTAAAGTTCCTGGGAAAAAAGTAAACTAATTGAAAACAGAGCAAAGTTCTCCAACTTCAGAGTTTTGCCTTGGCCCATCTTGCTCAGGGTATAGTTCTTGGTGTGTGATTTCTAAGCTAGGTGTAGAATCCAACACAACTACAGAGTGGGGCAACAGTAGGTTTACAGTTGTTCATATGGAAAATAATACAAAGATTAATAAATCATAGTTCAAGAATAAAGCCTTTTTGTGTACTCACAACTGTGAACCTACTTTTGTCCCACCCAGTACAACATGTTCCTCCAAGTGGATCAGTGGCATCAGAATCTTATTAAACCAGATTTTTGGATCTAATCCAAGACTATTCCTACTAGGTCAAAAACTCTGGGCTTGGAGGCAGGGAATGTGCATTTTTAACATATGACCCAAGAGATTCTGATGAAAATTCTCTTCCTAACACAAAATTATCTTAGTGTCACTTCTGGACAGAATCTCCGTTTTCCCATCTGCATAGAATGCAGCCCTAGTTTGGGGGAAAGTTCCAGATAAATTTAATAAGAGCATGTCTTTAGTGAGTGTTTTTGGATAACTTGACACCACACACTCCACAGTGTTGGCAGATCATGTTTCATTAGGGAGGATGAGTAGCTGACATAGGGGGGATGATGTTAGGTATTAATAACTAGCACTGCCCTGAGCCCACAAGGAGCACAGGCAACCTGAGCAAACCTTTGTTACTGTGTAGAAATCTGGGCTATATTACGCACCATTTCTAGCATTGAAATGAATGTATTAATTTCTCAAAATTCTGGAAGCCACACAACTTTCTTAGAAGGAAAGGTGGGTCATTTGTTGGGATACAGAATTCTATATAGTGATTCTATTTTAATGAACCTCCATATAATCACATTGTTAGATTCCTCACATGCTAAAGGGAATAATTAATATTTTAAAATTTAATTGAAAACTATACTGAATATTGTAAAATATGCTGCTGATTCACGATTCTTTTATATATAAACAAAACACCGAAAATGCTTGTTTTTATTTTTTAAATATATTTTATTGATTTTTTACAGAGAAGAAGGGAGAGGGATAGAGAGTTAGAAACATCGATGAGAGAGATTAATCAGCTGCTTCCTGCACGCCCCCCAGTGGGGATGTGCCCGCAACCAAGGTACAGGCCCTTGACCCGAGTCGAACCTGGGACCCTTGAGTCCGCAGGCCGAAGCTCTATCTATCCACTGAGCCAAACCTGTTCGGCCCAAAAATGCTTTTAAAAGCTGTACTTTTAATATCCACAAATCAATAAACGTGATACATCACATAAACAAATTGAAAGAAAAAAACCACATGGTCATATCAATTGATGCAGAAAAAGCATTTGACAAAATTCAACACCCATTTTTGATAAAAACTCTCAGTAAGGTGGGAGTAGAAGGATCATACCTCAACATAATAAAAGTCAATATGACAGGCCCACAGCCAGCATCATACTCAATGGACAAAAACTAACACCATTTCCCCTAAGAACAGGAACAAGACAGGGATGCCCCCTCTCACCACTCCTGTTCAACATAGTACTGGAAGTGTTAGCCATTGCAATTAGGCAAGAAGAAGAAATAAAAGGCATCCAAATTGGAAAAGAGGAAGTAAAACTGTCCTTATTTGCAGACGACATGATATTATACATACAAAACCCTAGAGACTCCATCAAAAAGCTACTAGACTTAATACATGAATTTGGCAATGTAGCAGGATACAAAATTAACCCCAAGAAATCTGAGGCATTTCTATACACCAATAGTGAACTTTCAGAAAGAGAGATTATAAAAACAACCCCATTTACCATCGCACCAAAAAAATTAAGCTACCTAAAAATAAACTTAACTAAAGAGGTAAAAGACCTCTACTCAGAAAACTACAGGACATTGAAAAAAGATATAGAGGAAGACATAAACCGATGGAAGAACATACTGTGTTCTTGGATTGGTAGAATCAACATCATTAAAATGTCCATACTACCCAAAGCAATCTATAAATTCAACACACTTCCCATTAAAATACCAACGGCATACTTCATAGATCTAGAACGAACTCTCCAAAAATTCATCTGGAATAAAAAAAGACCCCGAATAGCTGCAGCAATCCTGAAAAAGAACAAAGTAGGTGGGATCTCAATGCCAGATATCAAGATGTATTACAAAGCCACCGTTCTCAAAACTGCCTAGTACTGGCACAAGAATAGGCATATAGATCAATGGAATAGAATAGAGAGCCCAGAAATTGGCCTGAACCAATATGCTCAATTAATATTTGACAAAGGAGGCAAGAACATACAATGGAGCCAAGATAGTCTCTTCAATAAATGGTGTTGGGAAAATTGGACGGATATGTGCAATAAAATGAAACTAGACCACCAACTTACACCATACACAAAAATAAACTCAAAATGGATAAAGAACTTAAATGTATGACAGGAAACCATAAAAATTCTAGAAGAATCCAAAGGCAACAAAATCTCAGACATATGCTGAAGCAATTTATTCACTGATACAGCTCCTAGGGCACTTGAAACTAAAGAGAAAATGAACAAATGGGACTACATCAAAATAAAAAGCTTCTGCACAGCAAAAGAAACCATCAACAAAACAACGAGAAAACCCACTGTGTGGGAAAATATATTTGCCAATGTCATATCTGATAAGGGCCTAATCTCCAAAATTTATAGGGAACTCATACAACTTAACAAAAGGAAGATAAACAATCCAATCAAAAAATGGGCAAAGGACCTAAATAGACACCTTTCAAAAGAGGACATTCAGAAAGCCAAGAGACATATGAAAACATGCTCAAAGTCACTAATCATCCGAGAGATGCAAATCAAAACAACAATGAGGTACCATCTCACACCTGTCAGACTGGCTATCATCAACAAATCAACAAACGACAAGTGCTGGAGAGGATGTGGAGAAAAAGGAACACTTGTGCACTGCTGGTGGGAATGCAGACTGGTGCAGCCACTATGGAAGACAGTATGGAATTTCCTCAAAAAACTGAAAATGGAACTCCCATTTGACCCTGTGATCCCACTTCTAGGAATATATCTCAAGAAACCAGAAACACCAATCAGAAAGGATATATGCACCTCTATGTTCATAGCAGCACAATTCACCGTAGCTAGGATCTGGAAACAGCCTAGGTGCCCATCAGTAGATGAATGGATTAGAAAACTGTGGTACATCTACACGATGGAATACTATGCTGCTCTAAAAAGGAAGGAACTCTTACCATTTGCAACAGCATGG